GAGCCCCGGGGGAGCGGGGACGGGGGTGGGGGTGGGGGGGAGGTGTATCCAAGACGATAAACTGCCCAGCAGACCGAGGAGTCTCTGGCATCCGTCCATCGACTCAAATCCAGCATCGAAAGAGGCGACACCTGCCTCTCTACCCCGCCCTGCGGTCAGGTGGTCCCCGCGAGGTCATCAGCTGCGAGACATGGCTCAGAGTCATTCCTCAATCCAAACTGGGGTCACTAGGTGACCTGGGGAGACGTGGAAACCCGTGCTGAGGTCGTCAGGAGGCTACTGGGAATTCAATAGCACCAACCGGGTCAGCTCCAGGCCACCCGGGCTCGGGATCTAGGACGCCAAACCCCAAGCCCCACACGGAAAGCGCCCCACCCCCACCCCCGCTGCGCGGCATTCTGGAACGCGTAGTCCCGGAGCGCCCCTTTTCAAGAAGGTTGTGAGCACAGAAAAGGAACCACAAGAGCGAGGCATACTGGGAACCGCGACGCCACGGCAGGGACGCCCGGAAGGCGGACATGCGATGCTTCCTGGGACTTGTAGTCCAGGATTCGCCTCCGTGGTCGAACCCGAGTCCCCGGACTCGAGTGCTGCAGAGAGCCTGAGCGCAGCCTGCTGGGTGTCGTAGTCTTCTTGTCCGCAGCTCCGGGCGTTACTGGGAGGCATGTCCGTCCCAGAACTACAAGCCCCAGAAGCCCCTGCAAAGGCAGGAGCGCGGGGCGGGGCCGGAGGCCAGGGTGCCGCCTCCTCTGCAACGCCGCGGCCAGAGTGTTAGAATCGAGGGCCCGCAGGGGTCCCCGCGGCCGCCGCGATGCAGAAATACGAGAAACTGGAGAAGATTGGGGAAGGTAACGGAACCACGAGATGCTCCTGCAAGGTCTTCTTCCGTGGACCCTTCAGTATTCCTGCAGCTCTGGCTCCCGTACCATCAACAGTACCTCCCAGGCTCCGACCTCAGCTCTGGCTGCAGCCCTCACCCCCGAACCCAGCACCCCGCTGACAGCAGTGCTCCCCTTTAGGAGACCCACTCTCAGCCTTAGCGCCTCTTGTAGACACGACCTGCAACCCTAGCGCTTCCTGCACTTCCCACCTCTAGCCTCAGCAGCACCTGCACATCCTCAGCCCGACGCCCAGCCTCGACATTTCTGCAGGCTTTCATGCCTCTCCCAGATCCCTCCCTCAGCACTGGCTTCATTACAGACGCCCTGGGCCTCTGCACCTTCCCGTCCCTCCCCACCTGCTACAGCCTCACTCGCGAAACTCTCCCATGCCCAGCCTTCAGCTTGAATCCCTGCTCAGACGCTGCTCACCTCCCTGAGGGGATTTCCTGGAGTCGGGAAGGGTGCCCCCTCCTTTTCCTCACCCTTGACCTCTTGCCCCTTAGGCACGTATGGAACCGTGTTCAAGGCCAAAAACCGGGAGACTCATGAGATCGTGGCTCTGAAACGGGTGAGGCTGGATGACGACGACGAGGTAGGAATGCTGGGCCAGGGAGGGAGTTGAGACCCGGGCTGGCTGAGAGCTAATGGCTGCCTGCTGGCCTCTCATGTAGGGTGTGCCAAGCTCGGCCCTCAGGGAGATCTGCCTGCTCAAGGAGCTGAAGCACAAAAACATTGTCAGGTGTGTAGATGGCGGGGCCTCCTTCTTGTGTGGCGGAGTGGAGGGGGCGGAGGCTCCCGGGCCGGGCCGGGCCGGGCTAGTTCAGGGCTGGGATGTCAGGTACAGACGTGGAGACCCACCAGGCTGAGCCCTGCCTTCTCCCCAGGCTTCACGATGTCCTGCACAGCGACAAGAAGCTGACTTTGGTTTTTGAGTTCTGTGACCAGGTGAAATGGAGGTTTGGGAGGCAGTAGCCTTGGGAGGCTACAGACCTGGACTGAGGTTAAGCTTGGTCCCGTTCTCCGATCCCTGCCCCTTTTCAGGACCTGAAGAAGTACTTCGACAGCTGCAATGGTGACCTCGATCCTGAGATTGTGAAGGTGAGGGGGACGCGTCGGGGCTGGGGCTGGTGTCTGTTCAGGGTAAGCACCCCTTGAGTGCCAGATCTGGACCTGAACGGGGACACTGTGGATTGTCAGCAAACAGAGAACCCTGATTCTGCCTCCCAGGGGCCTCTGGTCTTAGCAAACATTACGTGTCTCCTCTGACCTGCCCATGGCTCTCAGTGGTACCATTTACACCTGAGCAATGAGCGTGCCAGGTACACGAAAGAGATGCATCCACCTAGCACATTCTACACTGGGCACCAGGTGCTGTTCTGGGGCAAGACCAGGTTCCAGGGGAGCCTGAGCACTCTGCGGCACTGACGGCCATGGCGTTTGTTCTCGGGTGCAGCCTGTAGGGCAGAGGAGCGGGCTAGGAAGGCAGCACGGCCGCAGATGGGAGTCCAGGAAAGTGGGCCTGGGCCGCCCTCTGATGCCTCACATAGTACAGAGTGAGGATGACGTGGCACAGAGCAGGGCAGGGGAGAATGGGAGCAGGGCCTGCTGCTGGGCACAGCTGCCAGGCCAGGGCGTCTGAGCTACCCCCCTGCCCCTCCCCAGTCTTTCCTCTTCCAGCTGCTGAAAGGCCTGGGGTTCTGTCACAGCCGCAACGTACTGCACAGAGACCTGAAGCCCCAGAACTTGCTGATAAACAGGGTGCGTGACGGGGGAGAGGGCGGGCGACTGGGGGTCAGCTCAGGGCTGGGAGAAGGGAGCCCAGAGCCCCCTCCAAGATGGCCTCAAAGCCCTGCTTGGTGCTCCTCCATCCCCCCTCAGAATGGGGAGCTGAAGTTGGCTGATTTCGGCCTGGCTCGAGCCTTTGGGATCCCCGTTCGATGTTACTCAGCTGAGGTGAGCGGACGGTGATGTATGGGGGGGCGTCCCCGCTGAGCGTCTCTCAGCTCCTGCTCCAGGCACCCCTCTGAGCATCCCTGGACGTCCTCCCCAGCCGTCTGAGTTGGGGGTCCCTACGGTGGGGTCTTCTCCAGGTGGTCACACTGTGGTACCGCCCCCCGGATGTCCTCTTTGGGGCCAAGCTGTACTCCACGTCCATCGACATGTGGTCAGCCGGCTGCATCTTTGCAGGTGACGCACCGGGGCTCGGAAAGGCATTTCCTGTCCCATTCAGGCTGACTAATAGGGCCTGGGGCAGGGAAGTGGGACACTCTGGGCCAGAGTCGGATGGCTCAGGGGGTGCCTTGAGTGAGGGGTCCTTCATGTGTCACACCGTGTCCCCCTCTGTCTCCCAGAGCTGGCCAATGCTGGGCGGCCTCTCTTCCCGGGCAATGATGTGGACGACCAGTTGAAGAGGATCTTCCGATATCCTTCCTTTCCCTTTGCCTTGAGCGCTCCAGAAGGGGGGCGAGTTGGGGGAGCTCAGAGGGCAAGAGTGAGGGTGGCGACAGCCTGGGCCTGGATGGTGGGGCCTGCTGGCCTTCCCTGAGGTGAGGGGTGGAGAGCAGAGGAAGGGGGCGTCCCTGACTGTCACAGCGCACAGGCACACAGTGGAGAGAGTGCCACCCCGGGCAAGGAGCACAGAGAGGAAGAGTCAGGAGGATGCTCCTCCAGAGAGGGCTGGGTCCTTGGGGTGACAGAGCCACAAGAACAGGGCCTTTGGGTGAGAGGAGAAGGTCGACTGCTCGCTGGACTTGTGGACGTCCAGGCCAGGCCACGTCAGCTGGCGGCTGTTTTGCTCCTGGCCCACACCTCGCAGGTGGGGCCTACCCAGGTGTGAGTGGGGCAGAAAGGAAGGGCAGGGGAGGGAGGAGGAGCCCCTCGCCCTGCCCCCAAAGGGTAGATGCTTAGCCAATCCTGCGAGCAGTCCTTGACCTCACGGACACGCTACTGGGGACACCGACCGAGGAGCAGTGGCCAGCCATGACCAAGCTGCCAGACTATAAGGTGTGATGGGGTTGGGGGGGTCGGGGTGTCGGGATCCCCAGGGGTCCTTTTGACTCACAGTCCTGGCAGCCTCCACACCCCTGGTCTGGCTTTCCTGCCCCCCACAGCCCTACCCGATGTACCCGGCCACAACCTCCCTGGTGAACGTCGTGCCCAAGCTCAATGCCACAGGGAGGGACCTGCTGCAGGTGGGCACCTGGGTATGGGGGGGTGTGCGCTTTGGGCATCTGACCTGCCTGACTCTGCCCTTGCCTTTCCTCATTGCCTCCAGAACCTTCTGAAGTGTAACCCCGTCCAGCGCATCTCAGCAGAAGAAGCCCTGCAGCACCCCTACTTCTCAGACTTCTGTCCCCCGTAGGCTCCAGGACCCTGGCTGCCAGGCTGGGGCCTGGCCTACTGAAGCCCCCTCCCAGGATGGGAGGAGAAACAGGGGTGCACGCAGTGCTGAGCTCAGCTGTGCTGGGCCCGCCGGGGGGCCCCTGGCTCGTGTACGCACCCCCCATGGACTTTATTTAATTTCATAAACCGGCTCCTTTCCCACAGCCTGGCTGGTGTGTGTAGTGGCTCCGAAGGGAGGAGGTCTCTCTCACTGTGTCACCCTCAGAGCCCTGCTGCTCACTCTGACACAGCAGTCCCACAGAGGGGTCTCATGCTGGGGCCCAGGCAGCGCCGTGCCCCCACACACACACCTGTGCGCTCACATGCCCCTCTTCCCTTTGCCAGTGGGCAGCCGTCCCGAGGGTAGACAGCCAGTATCCACAGGAGGGGAGGACAGCACCGGGCCTCATGGGGCTGCACATCCCGGGTGGGCCCTCCTGTCCTTGCCGTCACCCCTCACGCCTGCAGGCTGGAAAGGCGCAGACCCCAATGTCTAGTTCACTCAGACCTCCCCCCGCTTAGTGACCAGGTTTCCAATGTTTGGGGTGCAGTGGAAGAGGAGACTGCCCCCACCATGGGTAAGGCCCAGCAGGAGGGGAAAAGGGGCGCTCCCCACCCACTGTCCTTGGGCCTTTCTGGGCAGGTTGGGGAAGCAGGCACCGTTCCCATGGAGACAATCCTGTGCCTGTGGCCCCAGAGGCCCCAAATGTAAGAGGAATCATGGCCTCCCAAGGCGGACAGAAGTGGTGAGCCCTCTGGCCTGTCCTCTGCTGCTGCTAACACTGTGTGGCATGGTCAGTACTGCTGACGGTGACCCCGCTCTGCCTTCACCAGCATGTGGCCTTGACACAGCCCGGCGCTCTGGGCTGGGAGGTACTGCTCGCCTCCCCGAGATGCACAGCCCGACAAGCTCCTGCCCACCAAGGTGCGAGTGCCTGGCGTCCTCTTACTACCATTTTCACCCAGAGACCTGTGGGGGTGAGCTGGGCCGGTCCCACATTTCAGGCCCCTGTCTAGCTGGATGATGGCTCACGGAGGACTTCTGGTGCCCAAGTCGGGCTGACCATCGTCTGGCTCAGCTCTGCCCTGGAAGAGGGACACCTGAGGCAGATGCGTCAGAACTTTATTCGGGGAGATGGCAGGGACATGTGCAGGCCAGGCGTGTCCATGGTGTCCGGGCGTGGCCCTGAGGGCATAGACCGCAGGTCTAGAGCCGCGTGACCAGGTAGCAGGTGCGGTGGGAGGCAGAGGCATTCCCGGCGACTGAGCAGGGATGTGTGGGAGCTCTGGGGCAACAGCACCAGGGCAGGAGGCCTTCAGCCTGCCGCCCGGGCCTGCCACTGCACTCCTGGACCTGCACTCCACCCTCCGTGCCCCACTCCCCCTTCTCCCTTGACCTTAGGGGGCCGTTCTGTGTTACCTGGGGCCCAGGCTGAGGTGGGGGACTTGGGTTCCATGGCTGCCCAGCCCTTCCTGCAGCTGTGGGAGAGGGAGAGGGTCAGATATCTGGAAGGGCTTCCCCGCGAGGACCGAGGACTGGCTGAGATGAACATGCTCCACCCAGCCACTCTGCTCAGGGTGGGGGTGGGGAAGGTGGTCTAGGCCTGGCTGGAGGTGTAGGGCAGGAAGGGCGTGTTACCAGGTTGGTGCTGAAGTGCCTTCGGGAGCGCCTTTGGTTCCAGAAATAGCCCAGGACTCGATCTCGGAACACCTGAGGGCAGGCAGTAGAGGTAGGCGGCCATCCACACCTCCCATCCTCTCCTCCCCAGGCCAGGGCCCTGGCCCACCTCACAGAGGTAGTCCAGAATCTCAAGGATGGTGAGCAGACTGGCCCCGATGAACAGCCCCATCTGGCCCCCAATGTCACCTGTGGAGACAGCGTCACTTGGCGATTCAGCCACTTGCCCTGCACACCCCTCCCCAGACCCGGACGCTCGGACACACTGAGCAGCTCTGACACTTCGTAGGCCGCCTTCTGCTCCACTGTCTCGTAGTTGAGGGCCTCAAAGAAGATGTCCAAGACCAGTACGTTCTCCCTGGGGAGAGAAAGCCCTCGACCTTTCACTGGACACCCCTGGTGCCGCTGCGGGCAGGACAGGCGTGTGGGGTCTCTGGCGCCTTTCTATTGATGGAAGGCTGGGAGCGGGTGTCACCATTCCCTGGGGCAGAAAGGTTAAGCAGCTGGCTGGGGGTCCCAGAGCTGGCGCTGACAGGGAGCCCCGGCGTCCAACCAGGCTACGCGCACGGGAGCCCTGGCGTCCAACCCAGGCTATGCGCACAGGAGCGCTGGGCTGGCTGGGAGTTGGGCGCCCGCCTCCCCAGCCCGGTCCGCTTGGCTCACGCGATGTAGGCCTCGCTGCGGTTGTACTTCCGAGCCAGGTAGCGGGCGGAGGCGCGGCTCGGGATCCGCACCATGGAGAGCTCCTTGGCGTAGCGCGTAACGGCGCACGGGCTGGGGCAGGCGCACGCGTCCTTCCGCAGCATGGCGTCTGCAGGCCACAGGGGCCAGTTAGCGCGGCTGGGTTTCGGCCCGGGGCGAGGTCGGAGTAGGGTGGAGACCGGGGGCGGGCAGTCTCGCCCCTTACCCAGGGCGGAGTTGGCACAGTCCTTGTACTGCTGGGGACTGCACACGGGCGCCCCACCTGGGATGGGGTGGGAAGGAGACAGCTGCAGGAGAGCCTCCTGGCTGACCCCGCCCT